CACATCAAATCTATTCTTGGGATGGTCTCTAAATTCAGATGGGATATACTCAAGGTCGTACTTTGGTTCCCGTGGACTTGTTCTAATTTTCCTCAGCTTCAACTTGAACTTGCACATGAGCAAATAATGGTGTGTTCCCCACTCGGCCCCTGGCCTTGTTCTGACTGATGATATTGAGCTTCTCCATCATCACTTTCCACAGATGTAGCTGATTTGATTACTGTGTATTCCATCCGGAGAGTTCCACATGTATAGTCGCCGTTTATGTTGATGAACAAAGGTATCTTCAATGAAGAAGTCGTTGGTCTTGCAAAATCTTATCACGCGATCTCTAGCATGGTTTCTATCACCAAGGCCATATTTTCCAACTACGGATACTTCTTTGTTTCCAGCTTTCGTAGTCCAATCACCAGTAATTATCAATGCATCCTGATTGCATGGTTGATCAATTTCAGACTGCAGAAGTTGGTAAAAATATTCAGTTTCTTCATCTTTGGCATTAGTGGTTGGTGTGTAAATCTGAGTAACAGTTGTATTAACTGGTCTTCCTTATAGGCGTATGGATATTATCCTATCACTGACAGTGCTGTACTTGAGGATAGACCTTGAAATGTTCTTTCTGAAATGTTCTTTTTGGTGACGAATGCAACGCCATGCCTCTTCAAGTTGTCATTCCTGGCATAGTAGACCAAATGATTGCCTGATTCAAAATGGCCAATACGAGTCTATCTCAGCTCACTTAATCTGCAACTTCAATACAGAAGATGCCACGTTCTCAAGTTTCCACTCCTCTCAGACACCTTTTAACCTACCCAAAACACTATGTAAGTAGGCACAGGAATTATAGTTTAAAATTTACAACGGACACCCACATGCTGCCTTGCAAATTCCTCTACACTTCCATATTCTCTATTTCTAATAAAAATCTGCTTGGGTTCCTAGTTTTCATGACCACTATTAACTCCATGACGTTTCTCTGGAATGAGCACAAACATGGATCTCTTCTAGTCTGTTGGCCAGGTAGCTGTCTTCCAAATTTCTTGGCATAGACCAGTGAGCACTTCAGTGCTGCATCCATTTGCTGAAACATCTCAATTGGTATTCTGTCAATTCCTGGATCCTTGTTTTTCATCAATGCCTTTAGTACAGCCTGGACTTCTTTCTTTAGTTGCATAGGTTCTTGATCATACGCTACCTCCTGAAATGGTTGAATGCCCATGGAAGCAGCAGTCAAGAAATGAAACAATGTATTGCATTGGGCAAAATATTTTCTCCTTTCATGGAAACCAGGGATATGCTCTAGTATATATTACCAAGGAATCAAATAGAACAATGTATATTTTTATATAATTCTTTAGCCCAACTGGAGCTCAGGTAGTATACAAAGTCCAGAAATACAATGACATTTTCATGAAAATAATTGATATGGTACATTGTACATGCTTATTAATGGGAATTCAAGTTTAGAGCCTTCTTCTACAATCCTCCATTCTGCACAACTGGACCAATTTATCAATCAGCTCTGAATACCGGTGGCATAGCTTCCAGCATCAAAGCAACATGCAAGGCCCCGCAGTGTAACAACTAACAGACACGTGGGGGCAAAAAACAGTAGCTAGTAGTAATTCAGGCTGCATTTTTCTGTGTTCACATCTAGTAGGAGCCAGGCCTCCAGAGGCTCTTTTTTCAGAGTGAGGAAATAAATGTTCTAGAAGGCCTCACATACCTCTCTTCATATCCCATTGATCAGTACTGGCTCACATGTTCACTCCTAGACCAATCACTGTCAAGGGCAATGAAATTACCCATAGACCAAGCAGATCCACCCTTTGAACTAAGATAAAATTTCCAATCTATGTTGTTGCTACTCCATAGGAAAAGGCAGGTATATAGAATAATACTGATGATAAGCATTCCAAAGCTAAAACCCTTGGCATGACTGGGATTTCTAGCTAGGGTCCGAGTCCAATCCTTTCTTGTCCTAAGCAACTCCATCTTCGACTTCTAAGTGTAAGTCTCTGTCATATAATGTAGCTTGTCATTTTTGTTTCCCTACCATGCTAGAGGAAGTGCTTGTGGTTAGAAATGGCTGATGGTAAAAAAAAGATAATTCAAGACCTGTATGTGTTAGACAGAAGTGTGAAATTTGTGACTAATTACTATGCCAAAAAACAAACAAACAAACAAACCCATTGCCGTCAAGTTGATTCCGACTCATAGCAACCCTATAGGACAGAGTAAAACTGCCCCAAAGAGTTTCCAAGGAGTGTCTGGTGGATCTGCACTGCTGACCTTTAGGTCAGCAGCCACAGCACTTAACCACTATGACACCAGAGTTTCCTAATCACTATGCCAGTTCTCAGAAAATGTTTTTTTCTAAACTGTGCTTGGGTCCTTTCATTTTCTTTATAACCTTGTTTAGACTAAACCTCCCTTAAAACTTATCATTAGAATAAACTAATGTTACAGAGTTATGGCTTCTCTGTATCAAAAACCCTTTTCTGTCCTTAAGCATTAGATATAATCATACTAGAACTTTGTTTTATATTTCTACAGAATCCCCCATGTTAATGCTAAAGTAACTCAATTTAGCATAGACTACAGATGTCTAGATGCCATAAAACATGTGGTTTTAGTGGTCAGCCAGAATTCTCTATCACCTAGAGCCATCCTTACAAAAGATGTCAACACCTACCAAGGTGGTCAACCAAGGCTTTGTATATGTTAACCAATCAAAATTGTTTTAGCTGTAATCTGCTGCTTGTGGTTTTTTTCTTTGTAAATTTTTGTATTACTGCAACCCCCCTGGAACACAATGTTGGATTTCTACCAGACTGTGTCTCCCCATTTTGCAAAACGCTTTCTTTGCCATAACTTTACACTACAACAATATATTACATCTATTCTTGGAAGACTCAAACATCTTTCATAATTTCTCTATTAATCTGATAAATATTTAATGAGAACCCGTGTGCCGGGCTCTATGCTAGGTGACTGGGATATAACTATGAAAAAGACAGATACGATCCCTGATAACATGGAGCTCTTGGTACAGATGGGGAAACAGACATTAAACAAATAATCGGCCAATTAATTAATTAATTACAGTTGTAGTAAATGCTATAAAGCAAAATAATGCTATGAGGACACATTATACGTGAACCTAGCCTAATATGGGCATTGGAGAGGCTTTCTTGAAGAGGCAGATTACAACTGGAACGTGAATGATGTGCAGAAGCCAGGCAGGCACAGGGGGTGAGGCAGTAGTGGGGATAAGACAGAGAAAATATCCTTGGAGAAGACTTTTAAGTAGGAAGTAACTTAGCTTATTTAAGAAACTGAGAGAAGGCAGTCTGGTTACAGTATAGTGAGCATTGGAAAACATGGAACAGGATGAGGTTGAAAAGGTAGAAGTGATAAGAATCCTGTGGGAACTTGTAAACCAAGTTAGAGATTTAGGACTTTATCCTAAATGCAAAGGGAAACCACTGAAGGGTTTTGAGTAGGAGAGTGAGATCAGATTTTAATGGACTTGATGTGCAGCCCTGGTGGCACAGTGGTTAAAAGCTCGGCTGTTATCCAAAAGGTTGACAGTTTGAATTCACCAGATGTTCCTTGGAAACCCTAAGTGGCAGCTCTACTCTGTCCTATAGGGTTGCTACGAGCCAGAATCGACTGGACAGCACGGGTTTGGTTTTTTTCTTTTTTTTGTGGACTAGAGAAGGAAAGTGTGGATCAGCAAGAGTAGTTAGGAGTTTATACCAGGAGCACTGGAAAAAAACAATGAAATCAATATGATGTTAGTACAGAAGGGAGAAAAGCAGTTTGATTCAAGAAATATTTGAGGTAAAATCAATAGGACCTGGTAGATGACTAGATGTAGGGAGCAAGGGAAAGGAAGGTTTCAAGGGTGATTCCCAGGCCTCTGACATAAAGAATTAGAAAAAAGAATATGGAAAACACTGAAGGATGAACAGGTTTTTCCTAGAAGATCAAGGTTCAGTTTCTGGACCTACTGAGGTTTCTCTTTACCTTGAATGATCCTTCTTCATAAATTCTTTTTTCTTATCTCCTGGAGGGTTTCTTTAAGGGTTTGATTCCCACTTAAACAACTTGGGGAGCAATATTTAGTGGCGCGGTGGTTAAGAGGCTGCTAACGAAAAGGTCAGCAGTTCAAATCCACCAGCCGCTCCCTGGAAGCCCTATAGGGCAGTTCTACTCTGTCCTGTAGGGTTGCTATGAGTTAGAATCAACTCCATGGCAACGGGTTTGGTCTTTGGTTTTAAGGAGAAGGTAGAATAGGACAGAAAAATAACGCTAAACCCTTAGAAACAGCTCCCTCTGTTCCAAAGGGAAAATAACCTAAACATTCTCATGACACTATATATAGTCTACTACTATTTTACTTAAGCTCCGACATTAAAATGTTTAAAATTATTTTGTAGTATATATCCCTAAAGCACTGAAAACACCAAGCAAGCTTCTTTCAAATCTATAAGGATTATTCTTAAATATTTAAATAATTGAGAACAGCTACCTTAAAAATGTGTTATTTTAACTACTTCCAATCATTATACAGGTAGTCCCTGACTTACGATGTATTCGAGTTATGATAAACGGCACTTATGACCATCTGTTTTTTTTTTTTTTTTTTTTTTGGCGGGGGGTAAATCTTATCCTTAGTAATACGTACTACATACAATGTTACAGCCATAATTTATTGATTTATCATTCTCAGATGTTCACTCACAGATGTTCAATGGTACGATTTATTGTTCAAAACACTGCCAAATAGTAGGCTACGAAAACTAAAAAAAAAAAAAGAGGTATTTGACTCACTTCAGAACTGACTTATGACAGTCATTGGAACAAAACCCCATCACAAGTCAGGGACTATGTGCATTTTCAAAATTTAGAACATAATTTAGTTTTAAATATATATTTCATTATATTTATATTTTATAAAGTAAACATTTAAAAATACTATTTATTTTACTTACTTCTAAAAGAAAATCTCCTAGATACTGAATTGGATAAAACGGAGCTTGAAAGTTATCTTTTTCTTTCTCAGCCTTGATTCTTGCATCACTTGCAATCACATGAGTTATCCCACTTTGTGAACTTTTTGGTAAAATAACATTCGCCTTTCCAGCCTCCAAGACTCTGAATAAAAATGTAAGCATAAAAATAAGTCATGTTACCTGAATCAATTACTTCCGAGCTGTTATGGATTGACCTGTTTCCCTCCAAAAGTTATGCTGAAGTCCTAACCCCTATACCTGTAAACAGGACCCTGTTTGGAAAGAGGGTGTTTCTCTTGTTATATTAATAAGGCCATACCAGAGTAGAGTGGGTCCTAAACCTAATCTAAGTGTCATAAAAAAAGGAAGAAAATAGGCATGAATGGAGGTACACACGGGGAAGAGACCATGTGAGGAACCATTCTACAAGTCAAGGAATGCTAAGAAACATCCAGGGCTAATGACAAGGAGGGACCGTCCCCTAGAGCCGATGCACTGATTTGAACTTCTAGATTCCAAAACTGTGAGACAATAAATTTCTATTCCTTAAAGCCACCTACTTTGCGGTATTTTGTTACGACAGCCCTAGGGAACTAAGACACTAAGTGTAGGAGCAGACACTAAGTGTAGGAGCAGAACTTTCTGAAAGAAATTGATCTCTTCATGCTATATGAGTGCCATTGAGAATAATTACTGCAGTAATTTCTTAAATTATACGTTGTTCAGAGTAGATGCTTAAGAAATCTGCGACTCTTTCTACCTATCCATTTTTTGTTATGGGAAAGACTACTAAGAATCAAGAAAACTAAATCATTCCCTAAGGAAAAGTCACCTCACTAAGTCAAAAGAAAACCAAAGGAAGCCTAAGGAAGCAATTACCTTGGAAGGCAACATGACCTCAAGGGGAGCATTCTGACCACAAAAATGGAATGAGCTGCCAACCCCCCTCTAAGAAATTAGCTTGCAAAAAAGTTCAACCTTAATCCACATTATAAAATACATTTTACATTTAGACTCAGAAGACAGATATATAGACACACATACCCCAAACGTGTCATGAAAGTTCTGCTTCTACTTACGACTGAAAAAGCCACAAGAGAATACTGCTACCACTTAACGTTAAAAAAACAGAGCCAAATAATCTGCAAAATCATGATTTTCTTGAGCCCATCAGAGAGCTGAAGTCACAAGTTAACCAAGTAAATTGATTTCTAGTGACAGGACTGAAAGGAGAAATAGGCAAAACCACTATTATAGTTAGAAAATTCAGAACTCCTCTATCAGTAACTGGTGGAACAAGTATACAGAAAATCAGTAAGGATACAGAAGATTGAATAACATTATCAATTTGACTTAATTAATACATATTGAACACTTGACCCAACAACAGCAGAATACACATTTTTTTCAAGTGTACATGGGACCTTCACCCAGCTAAACCATATTCTGGGCCAGAAAACAAATCTTAACAAATTTAAAAGGATTGAGATGACACAAAGTATATTCTCTGATGACACATAAGTAAACTAGAAATCAATAAGAAAGATATTTGGAAAATTCCCAAATACTTTTTGAATTACACAACAAACTTGCATGTAACCAATGGGACAAAGAAATCAAATGGGAAATTTAAAAATATGCTGAACTGAATGAAAATGTAAACACAATTAATCCAAAACTGTGGGAATTAGATAAAGCAGTTCTTAGCGGGAATTGATATTAGACAAGAAGAAAGTTTTAATAGAAAAAATAAAACAAATTAAGCCCCAAGAAGTGCAGAAATCAATGAAACAAATGGATGAACAACAGAGAAAATTGATGAAACCAAAAAATAGTATTGCTTTTTAAATTCCAATTCCCAACTTGTCATTGCTAGTATATAGAACTGCAATTAATTTTTGTATATTGATCTGTTATCCCTGTGGTGTTGCTAAATTCACTTATTAGTGCTAGAAGATTTTATTTTGTATTTGCAAATTTTTAGTGCACAATCATGTCTTTTGAAAATAAAAACAATTAGCTTTACACTTCTTTTCAATTTGTATGTCTTTTACCTTTCTCCTTTGTCTCACTGCACTGGTAGTACCTCAGTCCGTAGTCCCTGGGTAGCACAAATGGTTTGAGTTGGACTACTAACCTAAAGGTTGGCAGTTCAAACCCACCCAGTGGCACCCTGAAAGAAAGGCCTGGTAACCTGCTTCCATAAAGATTAGTCAAAATATCCTATGGAGTAGTTCTACTCAGTAACACATGGGGTCACCAGGAGTTGGAACTGACTCAGCCACAACAAGCAGTAGTACCCCATTACAAGAGAAATGGTCAGAGTGAGCACCTTTGCCTTGTTCTGATCATCACAAAGGGAAAAAAATCTTTCACCATTAAATAAGATATTAAGTTTAGATTTTTTTCATAGATGCCTTTTTTCAGGTTGAGGATACAAAAATCCTTAACAAAATATTTGTGAATAGAATCCAGCAATATATTAAAAATGGATAATATACTATGACAAAGTGGAGTTTATTTAAGGAATACAAATTTCGTTTAACATTCGAGAATAAATCAATAATTCACCATATTAACAGAATAAAGAAGGAAAGCCAATTATCAGAACAGATGCAGATAAAAACTTTCAGATCAATACATTTATAATAGAATCCCAAAAAATAAAATATCTAGGGATAAATTTAACAATATGTGCAAGATCTGTACAATGAACACTACAAAACATTAATGGTAAAAATTAAAGAAGATTTAGAGACACAGAGTTCATTGATAAGAGGACTCATTATTGTTAAGACATCAGTTCTCCCCCCAAATCTATAGATTGAATACAATACCAGTCAAAATCCCAACATGCTTTTCTGCAGAAATTGATAAGCTGATTCTAAACTGTGCATGAAAATAAAAGGATCCAGAATAGTTAAATAATTTTGAAAATGACAAAGCTACACTCACTATAAAGCTACAGCAGTCAAAACAGTGTGATGTTGCTATAAGGTAGGCATGTAGAACAGCATAGGAAGGTCAGAAATAGACCACACATATATAGTCAATTTATTTTCTACAATAATGTCTAAGTAACTGCAGAATAACTGGAATTCTCATACATTGCTAGTGAGAATGTAAAAAAGGTTCAACTGCTTTGGAAAATAGTTGTGGCATTTTCTGTTAAACATACACTTGCTGTCTGAGCCAGCAACTTCATCCCTACATAATTACTCAAGACAAATGAAAACATGTCCACATTAAAACTTATACTCAAATGTTCATAGCAGTTGTATTCATATTAGCAAAAAGGGGCAACAACCCAAAAGTCCATCAACAGGTAAATAAACAAATTGCTACAATGGAATACTACTCAGCAATAGAAAAGAATGAACTACTGATACATACAATCACATAGATAAATCTTAAAAATATTGTGCTGGGCAAATGAAACTACATCAAAGGAGTGTATGCATATGATCCCATTTATATTAACCTCTAAGAAAGACTAACTTATAGTGACAGAAAGGAAATCAGTGATTGCCTGTTGTTGGTGATGCAGAATTAAATGTGCAAGGGCACAAAGGAACATTGTAGGATGATGTAAATGTTATAGATCTTGATTGTAGTGGGGGTAACATGGGTGTATGTATTGGTCCAAACTCATCAAAGTGTACACTTAATATAGGTACATTTTACTGTCTATAAATTATAATTCTAAGATGATAAGCCTCCCCTACTCCAAAAAAGTAGTGACAATCTAAAAATACAGTTTACCCATTAAGAAGTCTTTACAAATATGATGCAAAAGATAAAATGAAATGAAATTATGATGGAAAAAGTATGATTCATGAAGATAGTACTATATAAACTGCAGTGCAACTACTTTTGTGTGTGGCCTTTCTAGCAATGGGCTTCTAACTCCCACCCAGGTGATTGTGTGATAGAGTAATTGTGACCTGCCAAGGTGATTGGTCAGTTTTTCCTTAAAGAGAGTCAATTCCAGAGCAGAGGAGAGGAGCCTGCACCACCAAGGAAGGCGAGACAGTGTGGTGGCTTTCCTAGACCACAGAGAGAGAAAGCTGAGTGCCTTTGGGCAGAGACTGAGGGCTAGGAAGAGGTGTGTCTGCGAGTACAGCTGGGGAGAGGCTATCCTGATGGAAGAACTGTATCCTGAGTGTTCCTGAGCCTGAACTGTAACTGTTACTTCCCTGATAATCCCCATAATTGTGAGTACGGTCTGTGAGTTCTGTGTGGCCACTGCAATGAATTATCAAACCCAGAAGAGAGTGCTGTGGAAGGGACAGTTGGTGTCAGAATTGGTAGAGATGGCAGAGGAGGCTTGTCCGGACTCCACCTGATAGGAATCAGCCTTGGGCTGTTGATCTTGGTTCTCCTTCCCCCTTGTGGGACTGGAGGAGGTCAGATACTGCCCCGACACTATTCTTACAGTCGGGATCAGAAGCGGGATTCTTTGCAATGGCTCCAGACTCATGAAAACATGGAACTTTGTAAGAGAAAGAATGAAGGGGCTTGGGAAGTAAAACTTTTCGATTCCTGGATGGTTGCTGTGGTTGTGGTTACCTGTAATGGCTAAAAAGTTGCAGCTGGAGAGGCCTAGAGCAAAAGCCAGGCCAGATAAGGTTATCCTGCAGCTGAGGGGAGAAAAGCCCCACCTGGAGTGGCCTGGAGCCAAAGCCAGGCCAGATAAGCAGGATGACTGATAGGGGGTCAGGGTCTTCTAGTTCCACCCAGCCAGAGGCCCAAGGCCATATGCATATGAATGGAAAGATAGTTAAGGTTAGAGAAGACTAAACTGAAATGTTTTAAAAGGGTTATATGTGTAGGATTGTGTTTATCTGAATGTACTATGGATATTGAATGTTTCTCCTACCTAATGTTGGAAAGCAGACCTAAATGTATGACAGAAATGAATATTGGGTATTATAGATTACAGAGAGTGTGTAACTTTGTCTTCAGCCATCACTTAATTGGATATGCTAAAAGGGGAACTAGGTTTGCCAGGGAGAAACACCAGCTTTTTGTTTCAAGCCAGCAGCCCTGCGTATAGAGTAGGGGCTTAGGCAGAAGACCTGAGCCCAACCGAGAGCTGCTGAGAGAATGGAAGATTTGCATTTGAAGGAAGAACTTATGGAAACAAAGTGGCTGTTTTGCTTTTTGAATTTCGAGCAAGTGGTTTGCTGTTGAATGTACAGAGGCAGGAAAAGTCAGTGTCCATCAGAAGGAGCCCCCTTCCAGGACTGGAAGATAAAAGGAGCCAAGGAGTAGACAGCTTGGTCTGCTCGCCTGTGGTGACCATCTGGGTCCACTCATGAGCAGAAGTGGGGAAGTGCAGCAATAAAGAGATGGGCTGAGTTTGGACCTGCTCCATTGGCACCTGTTGACCTAGCCCACGGGGGCTAGGGATGAGAGAAAGGAGGGGCTGGCTGATCAAAAGTAAAGGGAGTTGTGTGTGGACTCCAAAGGTTACAGGGGGAACCTGCTGACCTAGCCCAAGGGGGCTGGGGATGAGAGAGTGTGAAGCAGCTGCCTGAAGTGCTGGGGGGTATGTGTGAACTCTCAAGCCTAAGGCTACTACCCATGTGACCTAGCTTGGATGGCTAGTGATGAGCTGACAAGAACGTGATCAATGAAGAGAAAGATGTTTGACACCATGAGCTGGTGTGGATTGCTGCAATCTGATGGCTTGCTCTGGACCGGAGTTTGCTTATGGATGCAGATGCTCAAACTTTCAACCAGAATAGAAGATTTTTCAAGACCAAGGAACATGCTTGTCTCCTCACTACTGGTTTGATAGGAACGGGCCATTTAAACATTGGCTATCTAAAACAGGGGGAGATAAAGGCATGAAGTGGCTGGCTTACACGATTTCATGAGTGTGCTTACATTAAATGAGAGGGGACAAGGAAAGATCCCCACTGAATAGACTTCCTCTTTTCCTGATGGGTCTAAAGAATAGAGTGGGGGAAGATACTGATAGGATTATATGATTCAGTTGTGAGTGCTGATTGTTAAAAGGGTTAATTTTGATTGTAAAAACTATAATTGTAGAAGCTGTAAGTGCGGAAAGAGTGGACTAAGCGGGGAGGCACTGCTGGACTGGAGTACAGCAGCTGAACCTAAAGTCCCTTAAGGTTTTACTTATGCTGATATCTCCTGAGGCTCAGAGCTAGGGAATAATTCTTTCAGTTAAATTTTATCAGAAGCTAGAAGGCGTGAAGATGAGATGAACCACTGGAGAGCCTGACCAAATCAGATGGACACCTGCAGCAAACCTGAATGACTGGTACTTGAGTAACCTCGCCCTGTAGGCTCTTTGCCCTATTGAAAGATTAATTGTTAATGACTATTTTGGACTGGTAAAATGATTGCAAGGGGGAAGTTATCTTCCAAATAGGAAAGAACCATGGCTAGAAGAGCCAGGGGGTGGCTTACTTTTGTGTGTGGCTTTTCTAGCCATGGGCTTGTAACTCCCACCCATGTGGTTCTGTGATAGGGTAATTGTGGCCTACCAAGGGGATTGGTCAGTTTTTCTTTAAAGACAGCAAATTCTGGAGCAGAGAAGAGGAGCCCACCACCAGCAAGGAAGGAGAGACCCCAGTAGGAGATGCTACAGTGGCCTTCCTGGCCCAAAGAGAGAGAAAGCTGAGTGCCTTTGGGCAGAGACTGAAAGCCAGGGAGAGGTGTGCCTGCGAGTACAGCTGGGGAGAGGCTATCCTGATGGAAGAACTGTATCCTGAGTGTTCTGGAGCCTAAACTGTAACTGTTACTTCCCTAATAAACCTCATAATTGTAAGTATGGTCTGTGGGTTCTGTGTGGCCACTGCAGTAAATTAATCGAACCCAGTGGAGAGTGCTATAGGCGGGACAGCTGGTGTCAAAACTGGTAGAGATGGCAGAGGAAGCTTGTCTGGCCTCCACCTCATGGCCCTGGCCTGTCGATCTTGGTTCTCCTTCTCCCCTTGTGGGTTGGATGAGGTTAGACACTGTCCCTATGCCGTTCTTATGTAAACTCAGAAGAAAGCTTTTGGGATGATGTAATACTCTACTTCAAAAATCTAGAAGTGCTTCAAAACTAAAAACAAATCTCCCAATTAATTTGATTTATTATGCTTGGTCAAAAAATAACATGGGAGGCAAAAGAGAAATCACTAAGATAACCTAAAGCAATACTATAAAATAGATTTTGTTCTATTGGTGACATACACTTAAATGAGCAGAATGGCTTAACTAGGAGATCAAAGAGTAAATCACTATGGCTCATCTGGACTAAATAATTGCAAAGAAATACAAAAAGGTATTCATGCAAACCAAAATTGTTTTCGCATGCAAATCAAAATTGTTTCCTTATTTGTTACCTCAAATTTTTATGAGATCTCATCCTACCTTACAAGAGAATCACTTCGTTTATCAGATCTAACAAGCAGGACAACTTTCCATCTGTGGAAGGCTCCTGGAGCACCAGTGCGTTTCAATTCTTCACGCCATCTTTTAGGTGCAGATTGCATTTGAGGTGAATAATGGGAGTCTTTTTCAATTTTATATCCCCATTCATAAGTTGTTTCATCAAGCCATCTGCCACTTTTGGCACTATGAATTACGTAGTCCTTAGTTAGTACCCACTTCCCTGGAAAGCAAATGAACTGTCATCCACAAAATAATTCTGGTTCTGATAAGGGCTAAACAATAAAGATCAAATATCAAATTTCAACCTTTCTCAACGTGAGACTACAATGTCAACATTATTTTTATACTACAATGTTTTTCTAAATTTTTTGATAGCAAGAAGCCTACAACTACATCACTGAACATTGTATGTAATCATTCCCATGACAAATAAGTCTAAATACTGTAAAGAAAAGATAAATATAAGGTTTCAAAATCTAAAAATGTAGCATTGCATTTTTATTGCTATTCACAATTTTGGGCTTGACTTACGTTCTTTCCAGTTTGCTAAAAAACTTTTCTGATAATATTCACAGCACTGTTACACTTTGAAAAACAAATTTATTAAAGTTCTCAGGATAGTTAATACTATTTTGTAAGTTTCTTTATCTGGGCATCAATAGTTTTTGTAAACAGCAAGGACAATGTATGCATTTGCTGGGGGGGGGGGAGGGTGTTTTCTTGGTAAGTTATCTAAAAGTGGTGAATTCACCTTCACAGTAGAGAACACCAAAGAAGGAATGCCAGTGGTGACAAAGGGAGACAGGAGGAGATTCTGATTCTAATTTGGGTTTATGAAATTTAATATCTTAGAAAAATTTTAAAATCAGGTGATTGCTGCTCCATAGCATGAATGGGAGGCAGTAGGGGTAGAGAACGAGTTGAAAAAACAAAAACACTGACTATTTCCAATGATAAATATAGAAAAGAAACTTTTCTGAGAAGAGCTAAAGCTTCAACAAAAGCTTATGTTTTGGGCATGCGGTGTCAAATGTTTCTGGTAAAAATTTTTTTTCCCCTACATAAACCACTAAGACATTAAATCCTTGGTGCAGTAAATATTTCTTTAAAATGCCTATTTTATTTTTTATGAATTGCAAAATATGACTCAAAAGTAAAACAAAAAAAATCAAACATTTTTAGAAAAATATCAGAAAAGACATTTACATCTGATAAACATGCTATCTTTCTAGAGTCTAAATTTACTAAGTATTTTTTCTTTAACATGAAGATTTATTTTTCAGGGAAGAACAGTAAACTTACCTGCTGCACAAGCTGCTAAAAATTTTTCACTCTTACACAGGCGTTCAGCTATAAGATGTGTACAATCTTTGTATTTCTAGAAAAGGAAATTCATAAAAGATGTTACTAAAGTAAGATTTCCTTTATAACACATCTTTTTTTATTCTTACATATCATGGAGCCATTTTATCATTCTTAGGCTAGTATTTTAATTATTTTTCAGCTATACCTTGAACATTTTATTTCTGTACTCACCTCACTCTTAATAAAAATGCAATCTAGTTTTAAGAGCAATTTGCCTAAAGCTTCCTTTTCTTCCATCTTAAATCCTGTCATCTGGATGATATGCTTTCGAGCACCATGTTCCATCTAACATATACAAACATAAAGAAGATAACATAGGAACATAGAAAGATATTATTCACAGGGTTGACATTTTTTAACTATGGGTGCTAAAAATGAAAACTAAAACCATTAGAAGACTCATTTCAAAACTAAAATACATAATGAATTAAACATATATGGCTTAACTGTAAATAGCAATGTGAAAATTACTTACGTACAATAGAAACTAGTTTTAAAAGTAATCTTTTCAAAATGTGACCTTAAATTATATTTTTCTGGCTTGAAACTTGAAAGTTTGTGTTAGTATATTACTTGCCACTAAAACACACTGAGGAATGAATATAATTCCATGGAAGAAGTTAAATAGTCATATAAACATTAGCATAATAAAAAAACTAGCTTTAGTTTAAAATTACTTTTTGCTAAGAGCCTTTGAAAAAAGTACACTTGTGGACAATGAAACAATCAGATTTTAAACAGACTTTTAAAGAGTTTATGGACAGATATTGAAGACTATATATGAGTCACTGGAGAAGCTGGCAGAACTAATGGTCTCACAGAATTTATACCAAATAATTTAATACAGTAGGTACATATATACGAACCTAGATCCTATTCTCAATATTTCTTAACCTTGATATAGATTAATTTCATTATGTATAACATACACTAACAAATCATATGGTTTTCATGTAAGTTTATTTTCACAGGGACCTTAATCCATATTTAAATGTAGTTCACAAAGCACTCTGTGTTTTCAGGAGGAACATTTATTAAATACGAAAGGGAAAACTCACTAATTAGAATACAATTTTTGTTTACATGAGATTAGAACTTTAGAATTAGATAAGGTATTTTAGAGAAAATGTAGTTTCTCTTTATAGATGAAGAAAGCAGAGAATAGAGAGATCAAGGTAATTTTTCATATCCAAAAATTTTGTCAACACAGCTCTAAATTTAAAACCTGCCAAACCCAGAACCTGTGTAAGGCAGAAACCTGTCAGACAAGGAAAAGTCAAATATTTTCCAGTAAAATGAGCAATATAAAAGTGGTAAGAATATACCCTGTCAAAGGCAAAAACTTGTGAGGCCCAGAAAACAAGGCAGTCCACTGAATTCTGGCTCTCACAGGTTTCACTGTATTTAACTAATGCCACAGGCAAAGCATGGCAGTTCACTTCTTTCAAGACAATAAGAGTAAACTTCAAAAATTGTATAACTATCTGAGCCAAAGACTAATAGCATATTACTGGTGAAGTGAAAAAGCTTCTTTATAGAAACCCTATTTTCAAAAACTAAAATATGTATATTAAGTATAAAAGATATACACACAAATATACATATATTCCATGTATATTTAAAGGTTGAAATTCATCTTAGGGTAAAAATGGAAAGAAAGTCTGAACATAAACATTTTAAAGAATTAAGATTAGAAGTGAACCTTCATTTCCCTTAATCTTTTTAAGAGGAGGCACTTCAGCTAGAGTACTATCACTCCTGCTTTCTGTCTTTACCCTTCTTCACCTCCCTTTGGGAGGAGAAGCTATTGTAGAGAACTAACTGGATATGCTTTGCTCAGCTCTTCATGGTTCTCTTTTGAATCTACCTATCTGCAAAGACAGTTCATATTAAATGGTTTCTGACATGTGCTAAGGAGCTGCCAGTGTAGTCCTACACTGCCTGTGTGAGTAAATCAATACAACTGTTATGTATTAAGAAGTGCATTGGAGTTGCACGTCAAAGCCACCTGCACCAAACCAATTTTTATTCCATAAATGCTGATATTTTTATTTCAGTACATCTGACTTTTCTATTTCTCAATTGGCTCCAAAAGAGGAAAAGGGGTGTCATGTATTAACCTCTGGTCGTTAGCTGCCATTCAGTTGATTCCGACTCTGGTGACCTCATGTGTACAGAGTAGAACTGCACCATTGGGTTTTCAATGCTGTGACCTTTCGGAAGCAGATCACCAGGCCTATCTTCCAAGGGGCCCCTGGGTGTGTTTGAATGGCCAACCTTTCGGTTAGTAGTCCAGCGCTTAACCATTATTCCTTAATAGGAACCCCTACTAACTCCCTAAAATAAAATTCAGATTCAGAACATGAAGAAAATGTCTTTTAGGATAAGGCTCTTCAATAAAGCAAATGCTTTAAAAAGTTAGAAGGATCTGGTCAGTACAAAATTATAAGATGTACACAGTAGGGCTTAGTGTCTTATGAAAAAAAAATTTAAATCACACACAAAATACTATCATCATCAAATAAAATGTAACTAGCTTCTTGCATAAGGAATTCTTTCCTATATTAATTATCTGATTTTTTAAACCATTTACGTGGATTAAATAACCAAGCTCCTACAACATATCTGAAAAGGTGCTCATCTCTAAAATTTATAGAAAACATCAACACTGCAACAACAAACAGACAAATAATCCAATTAAAAAATGGGCAAAGGACATGAACAGACACTTCACCAAAGAGGACATTCAGGCAGCTAACAAACACATGAAGAGATGTTCATGATCATTAGGCGAGATGCAAATTAGAGAGATACAAATCAAAGCTACAGTGAGATATCTCATCCCTGCTAAAATGGCACTGATCAAAAAAACAGACAACAAATGCAGGCAAGAAAAGTGGAATGCTCATGCACTGCTGGTGGGAATGTCAAATGGCACAACTTCTATGGAAAACGGTATGGCACTTCCTTAAAAAGCTAGAAATAGAATTACCATATGATCCAGCAATCCCTCTCTTACTTCAAGACAAATAATAGGTTTATTAGAATAGGTTTACACACAGAAAGAAACATTCTTTGATAGTTTCCAGGGAGGGAAACAGGAGGGAAGGAGAATCATTAACTAGATAGTAGACAAGTGTTAATTCTGGTGAAGGATAAGGGAATATACAACAGGGAAAGTCAGCACAATGTGACCAAGGCAAAAGAAGCTACTGAGAGTTACACAAGAATAAAGGGCAATTACAGTAAATGCTGTTAACATATACAACCCTGCAACAACAGTAATAACAATAATTTGGAAGTAGATACATGGACTAATATGTATGCTAAATAGGTGAGGGATGTTGTACAAGAGTATACCTGTGTACATATGTAGGTATGGTTGTGGATATTTCTACATATATATTTGTGAATGCTGCATGTATACTCATATGTATAATAGAGCATATAGGGGGCACAGTTATAGAAACTACTTAGACATTAGGACTGAACTACTGGACATGAAGGCTAAGTACCATAGTCTCAGGGGACAACGAGGTCAATTGGCAAAACACAGTTCATAAAGATAATGTTCTACATCCTAGCCTGGTGAGTAGCATCTGGGGACTTAAAAGCTTTCAAGCAGCCATCTAAGAAGCAACTATTGGTCTCTTCCCACCAGGAACAAAGGAGAACAAAGAAAACTGAAGACCCAATGAAGCAATTAACCCAAAGGACTAATGGCCCACGTGAAATACAGCCTCCTCTAACCTGAGACCAGAAAAACTAGAAGGTGCCTGGCTACCACTACCAAGTACTCTGACTGGGATCACAATAGGAAGTCCCAGGTAGAATAGGCAAAAAACGTAGAACAAAATTCAAATGAAAAAGAGAGAGACCAGACTCACTGGTCTAACAAAGACTGGAGGAACCTCTGAGAGTACTGCCCTAAGAGGAACTTCTAACTTGGAACTATAGACACTCCCAGAAGCCACCTTTCAGCAAAATAATAGATGGGGCTATAAAATCAACAGTAACATCTGTGAAGAATGTGCTCCTTAGAACATATGCCCAAAACCAAAGATGAGAAGACAGGGAGGGACAGGAAAACCAGACTAATGGAAACAGGGAACCTAGGGAGGAAACGGGGAGAGTGCTGACGCACTACAGGGATTATAACCAAGATCATGAAACAATTTGTGTAAGAATCACTGAATGGAAAATTAAATTGCTGTGTAAACCTTCACCTAAAGCACAATAAAATGTTAAATAACAATAACCAAACTCCTGGGTGTTATTATTCATAAACATACACTGGTAATATAGAAAAACTTTACAAACAATATGCTCTGTTGCTAGAGATAACGATTTAGTCTGATGCAAAACACATATAAACACACACAATAAGGTCACACGTGGATTGTAAGACACAACTATAACCAAGGAAAAAAGCTTCTTTCATTAATTCTAGGGAATTACTTAAATAAATCCTTTAAGCAAATTTCCTTTAGAAAATAATAGGTCCTCTAGAAATATTAAACCAGTCGCCGTCAAGTCCATTCCAGCTCATGGAGACTCCATGTGTGTCAGACTAAAACTGTGCTCCACAGGGTTTCCATTGGCTGATTTTTCACAAGTAGATTGTCATGTCTTTTTTCTGAGGTGCCTCTGGGTGGACTCAAAATTACAACCTTTCAGTTAGCAGTCGAGCACATTAACAGTTTGCACCACCCAGCGACTCCTCTAGTAAAATTCAAGCAAAATTCAACATATCTGTGAACACCATTTTGGAAAATGGTATAAGAAATCATTGTTTTTATAGTTCCTGAAAGCTACCGTCATCAGAGGAATACAAGTGTTTTAAACTCACATATTTTTTCTATTGCATTTTATTTATGTATTAAAGAGTTTCAAAAGCTATTTGGTAGGCTATTCTAAGAAATGTTAAAGGAGGGAAGTGAGTGGTTTTAATACTTTAAAAGCTTGCTTACCTGACGATTCTAAAATATTGATTTGTAGAAGGCAATCAAAATGTATAGAAAACATTAAGAAAACAAAAATTCACTGTAATGCTACCACCCAAAAAGTTTTATTTAAAGGCTGTCCTTTAAATTTTATTTTACTGCTTTCTGAGAATTAAATATATGTGATATAAAACTACAAGAAATAAAGTTATACTATGTTTCCCTTTTCAGATTAAGTTGTTGTTATTTGCTCCATGCAGTTTTCAAGGCTGTGACCTATCAGAAGCAGATCGCCAGGCCTGTCTCCCGAGGAGCCTTTGGGTGGATTTGAATCTCCAACCT